CATCTTTCTCATTGTTGTATCTTTGTCTTTGTTTTTTCATCTTTCTCTTTGTTGTATCTTTGTCTTTGTTTTTTCATCTTTCTCATTGTTGTATCTTTGTCTTTGTTTTTTCATCTTTCTCATTGTTGTATCTTTGTCTTTGTTTTTTCATCTTTCTCTTTGTTGTATCTTTTTTGTTGTTTTTTCATCTTTCTCTTTTTTTTTCCATCTTTCTCTTTGTTGTATCTTTCTCGTTTTTTTCATCCTTCTCATTGTTTATTCATCCTTCCTTCTCATCGTCGTTTTCAGAAGCAGAGCAAGGCCCACTCCAGAGGTGTGGGGGGGGTGGCGGACTTCGTGCGGACAGACACTCTCCAGCACAGCAGCCGGGCCACCGATTCGCCGGGAACTCTGGGATCTCTGGGAGCCGGTCGGGCGGGGAGCGTCGCTTCGCTGGACAGTCAGACGTCCACTGCAGCAGGGGGAGGCAAGTCGTGGAAGAAACACAACAACCGGAACAAGAAGGAGAAGCTGCGACGAATTCACCGCGATTTGGATGTGTGAGGGGGGAGGGGAGAGTGTGGGAGGTGATGGATGCAAAGGGATTGTACAGGTGTGTGAAAGAGAGAAAGTGAGAGAGGGACAGTGTGAAGGAGAGGGAGTGAGTGAGAGACAGTGTGATGTGTGAGGGAGGGGGGAGGTAGAGAGTATGGAAGGAATGTGTGAGGTGATTTGGGTCTGTATGTGTGTAGAGTGGTTTTACTCGTGTGTGAATAAAATTTTTCAGGTGTGTAAGTGAGAGGGGAGAGAGAGAGTGAGAGGTGATGGGGGCAAAGGGATTGTACAAACAAGGTGTGTGAAGGAGAGGGAGTGAGAGAGAGATAAAGTGGAGGTATATGTGGGGTGGTGGAAGTGTGTGTGTGTGAGGGTGAAGAATGATCTTATCGGAGGTGGACTTTGAATTCCGAGGTGCCGTGATTAGAAATATGCAATGAATTGTGTGTTTTATGCATTTCCATCTACACCTTTCAGATCATTTAGGAGGCCCCACCTGTGGGGGGGGGGGGGGGGGGATGTGATGGGTGTGTGAAATGCTCACTCGGTATTAATCAAACTCACGCACGCCTTTTATATGGTGTTTACGGGGATGGTTGCTGAGCTCTGTTGTACCGTAACGACTTTTATTCTGTGGAAGTTTTCGGAGTTCTTCTTCCTGTGTAAAATGTAACGCATCAAATCTGCTTTGTGAGGAAAGCTTCTTGATAGCAAAGTGAGTTATGCTGGCAATTGAGTTACTTCTCGCAATCCACGAATGGAGATGTTGGCCAAAAATAGCTCACTGGACCATCAAATTTGTAGATTTTCTTTTGATGCCATGTTCTTAAGTATAATAACATGCCTTTAATTATTTCCTTCTTATAAATTGTAAAACCTTCACCTTTTAGCGTGATGTATATTTTCCCATAAGGCTTGATTCGGAAAAGTAACTCATTTTGTCAGCACGCTTCGTACGTATACCATTGTTCTTCGACAGTTTTTCAGATGTTGAGACCAGTGCTGATGGTGGAATGGTTAGGTCGCTTCGCCATTGCACGCAGAAGATGAGAGTTCCAATTCTTATGTGGGGAGGTTTTTTTTTTTTTTTTAAATCAAGAATCTCCGTCTTTCTGTTGAGATATTGTATCTCGCTCAGCCCAGATTGACTCAAAGCAGCCGGTCTCCTGAATGATCTGAATTGTGCGGACGTGGGTGTTCAGTGCAACTGCAATTACCACACAGTGCTTTCTTGTCCTATCTCCATTCTTAATACCTGTGAAAACAGTTCACAACAAAGAGTGAACCTAAGAAGAAGTCACATTTTCACTGTTTAAAAAAAAATAAAGATACGAAAAGAAAGCACTGAGGTCGCGAGATGTTGCACTTTATTTGAGTCCTGCTTCTTTTGTTGTGTGGGAGTGAGACAACAAGGGGGGATGTAACACTATTAGTACTATATATATAGATATTTATATATATATATTTATATATATATGACATTGGCAGTTTTGTTGTTGACAGAAGACTATGCGAGTTTATGATGGTGTTCATGTTTCATTAACAGCATGACTTGAGAAATTTCCTTATATGAATAACAACTGTGATTATTGCCAACAATACACCTGTTTGTTGCTCGGTTTTTTCACATCCTTAATGTTTGTTCGTTTTTTCCTCACAATTTGTTTTTGTTTGTTGGTTGTTTTTTTTTCCTTTTTGTTTTCCATACTTGTTTCTCTAATCCATCAGTTCATTAATTTCTAAATCCTACTAATTCAGTTGATCACAAAACCCAGTTTTTTACGGCAGAGTGCTTAGTTTTCTGTCACACAGGGTTGGATAGTGGCAGGTGTTTTGGTGTGGTTTGCTTTTCCTATCAAACATCTATCGTCTTTATCTCCCTTCCTTCTTTTTAATGTTTGTTACTCTCTTGTAACACCTCTAAACTTCGGTTCTAATATGACCTTATTGTGTTACAAGTGCCGTAAAACTCTTACTAAAACTGAAAAGGGTTGGGTATTGTCTCGCCAAGCATCTGTCTTGACAGTCTGCCTGCTGGGATGTTGGTTGTTACAGTTTGTCATTGAGCCTGAGTTGGCCCTGACAAACAGGTACAAAGTACAAAGCTGCCAGCTCTCTTACTCTTATAACTTATAGCTGGTTCACTTTCGTCCGTCCCCGTTACACAATTTGTAGCTCAGTTTTTAATTTACCCATGCCCACCAAACTTTGAATAGCACTTGTCTTTTGCGGGTCAACGATCAATTTTTTTAAAAAATCTTGATCTAGAGGCCTCGTCTCGTAAATAACCTAATAGTGTTGATAGGAGTGTTAAAAACCTTCACCATTTCACCCTTTTTATATAGTTTTTAAAAAACCTGCTTTAGACTAACATCAAAGAAAACATGTTGGACCTGTATAACTATAAATGGGCTTTTAGATTTTTTTGGTCATCCAACTTTTAGATCCGTATGCAAAGATCTGAGAAGATTAAGCACAATGATTTCATTTTACGTTGTGTTAACCTGGGTCAGGTGAAAGTGAACAAGCAAGAGAAACTTGTATTGTGGGTCTGTGTGACAAAAGCTGAAGTGTATTTTATAATTTAGTACATTTCGTTAAACTGGAGCAGTTTTAATTGCAGTCTGTAGTATTTTGCATTTTCGTTATACGCAATCTTTCATTGCAGTCTATAGTATTCTGCATTTTTGTTATACTCGATACTTCCACTGCAGTCTGTAGTATTTTGCCCTCTGTGGCCTGGTGATTCATCTGTGATGTTTGGGTTAGGTGGTTCACCTTCTCAAACAGTACACCCGAGTTCGATTCCTGTGTTGGGATAATTGTATAATTTTTATCGAACATGTCAGTCTTTCTGCTTGGGGGGGGGGGGGTGTTGTATCCTTCCAAGCCTGGACTGACCCTTAACACTTTCTGTCCCCGTCGTTTTATGCAAGAAAAATTCTGAAATTATGCAAACTGAGCCCAAAAATGTGAAATTATGCGATTCTGTTAATTTTAACAGAGAATGATAAAGGAAAATAATCAGAAATTAAGTAAAAAATGATCAAATTTTGCTAAATTATGCAGGGTGCATAAAACCACGGGGACAGCAGTTTGCTGCCTCATCTCGTAGATTTGCGACGTTTACCACCCAGTTTCTTTGGATTTTCCGCAAAATATGATGGTTAATTATCAATTGTTAAATTGAGGTCTGAAGCCGCTTGCCTCATAGATTAGCCGAATAGGAAAGGAGAGTCTGAAATAATTTCCAGAAAGCTGAGAAGAAAAGAAAGGGGAGGGAGTGTGGTGTTATTAGTTATCATCCGTCAGCTGTTCAGGTGGACTTGGCCCAAAATTTCAATGATTTTTTAAAACAGAATTTCAGTTTCTAAACCTGCAGTATCTTGCATGAGCTGGGGACAATAATGCTGGAGACAAACCTTCAGTCTGTGGCAGACTCATTGGAAAAAACGAGAAAATAATCAATTATGCAACAAGCCCAAACTGGGTCCGCGAAAACCTTTGTACGAAGTCATTTTTACTCGATTACGCATTGGACACTCGTCCCTGACACACACATAGGCCTACCTCCTTCAGAGAGATGAGAAGCCGTTTTGTGTTGAAAGTGACACAGATTTTACCATTAGACACATTTCAACAGAATGTTTAGACATCAGAGAGACCTAAAGGAAATATTTTAGATGCAAAAAATTGCAGGACCTATTTTCTGTGGTTGATCCAAACAGAATTCTTCATTTGATAAAGGAAAATTGTCAATTAGATGGTTGAAAATTTTTAATATTACTTAAAAAGTTATTTTAATTTTAAGGATTTATTTACATAAATTTGAAGTAATTTTAATTTAGCATTTTAGTAGAGGTGTTGACCAGAATGGGGCTATGCAGAGAACTATTGCAAATGGAACCAACTTTTTTTTCACGCACTCATATGGCTTTATGCAGTTGCCAGCGCTGAAACTCTTACTAAAACAAACAAAAATAATAATTGTCGTCGATTTATTCAAATTCTAAAACTTTGAAAGAAAAGATACACATAATGTGGGTACTGTCTTTAAAAAAAGACTGTACGACTATCACCTGAAAAGTTACTTTCTGGGCTAAGCTTAGTTGCACAGCTTGCTGATAATATGCATGGGGGGTGTGTGTGTGTGTGTTCCTGACTGACTTTCTGGTTGTGCACAACTATAGCTCCGATATGGTAGAACAAAAGTCATGATCATCATCATCATAATCATCATTGCCTTTCTCACCCTGCACCGGGGTATAGGCCACGAACAAACATTTTCCAGCCCAGGGGGCTAGCCTCTACAATAACTAAAGTAGAAATGTCCAATTTTTGAATAAAAATTCACATCAGTCCATAACAACAACAAAAAAGTCCATAACAAATTTTCATTCATTGACGGATTTTTTTTTATTGAAGGTCTCATATCACAACATAACAAGATTCAACCAGAATACGCAAAAAAAGATGAGGGCGATGAACAGACGACATTTGTGGGGGTTTTTACAGGTGGATCCGGTGACAAATGAGCATGATGACGATGATGAAATGATGAACAAATAAAACAAAAACAAAGAAAACCAATCAAGTAACTGGTAGAAAGGGCAGTACCCTCACTGCTGTAGTTAGCAATCAGTACGTGGAACAGGGAGCACAATAGTTCTATTACCTCTTCCACTTTTCTAGGAACCTATACACTTTATTAAAAAGTTGAATTACTGGGGGGGGAGAGATTAAAAAAAAGGGCAGTAGTAAGGAACTTCTTTGCTTCTGTCTATGTGAAACAAAAGTTCGAGAACTGCCAGTTCCTCTAGGACAATCTGTGACTGATACGTACAAGTATGTATGTTCCTACACACTTTTATCATCTCACCATATCTATAGAGATTGTAAGAGATCTAAATCTGCTAATAACTATGAAACGTATCCTCAAATATTTGTTTCCTATACACAATGGCTCAAAGTTTCAAAGGGTATTTATGTTATGAAGGCCACCATTCCGCCAAGAATGTACCGGTGCACAAATATCCCACGCGACCAACCTCCTAAATAATCTGAATTTGGTTGATCGCGACGTAAAACAGTTACAAATCATTTACAAAACTTGATAGAATCCAACGATACAACACCTAATGATTTTACAACAAATACCAGAATGAATGTTACTTCCGTATTATAATTATAATTAGCATTGTTCGCAATTTCTACCAGATATTTTACGGAATCAGGAAATGTCCAGTCTTACAAATATCACATTTTTCAAGATGTATCCAAGCAGCTCATCATAACGTCTTCACATTTGGATTGACGGCAGTAGCTAATATTGCTAATACTTACTGACAGTATTGAAGAAACAGGTGTTAAATCAGAAACCTCTAAAAAATACAATAGAATATTATTTTGCTTTACAGTACATCCACATATTCCTAACGGAGGCTCTCCTTAAAATAAAGTCCCAGTCTGTCTCAGAGCAAGACTTTGGTAGGATCTCGCCACAACTGCTGCTCACACAATGTCCATACTGTACTCACACAAAATCATCACTGGCTAACAAAATGGCAACACTCAGAGCTGTACCACAATGCAACCACCCAAAGTTTAGAAGAAAAAAAATTAACTTTAAAAAAAAAATTTTTTTAATTGCGCACTGGCAATCAAAAGTGTAATATACATGACAAGTTTTACTGTACCAAGAGTGTACTTTTTTGCAAATTTCCCACTTGAAATTTACAGACTCATTTTTCGACTTCGCTGTTGTTCAGATCATACTTCTCCCTCCTCGAAAAGAGTAATAACAAAAAAAAAGTTATTTCTCATACCATGTCAAATTGAATCAAAATTGTAGTTGTCTAATTCAAACAGACAGAAAAGGCTGGGGGAGGAGTTCTTGGTATTTTAACCACATCATGCAAATTTTTTCATAGTCGTACATAGCACCATCTCAACTGTACAGAAACAATCACTGATCATCACTTCAACAGGATAGAATCATCATTCATTAAAAACAATACTCACTCTCTTCACCACACTTATCCCGCACGCACACAGGCACAATCATCATAGATTCTGTATTTACAATGTCCACATTCTCACTCACTTGTGCATCGGCAGTCAAAAAAAACCCAACAATTGATTCTTACAATAAGAATGGAATGGTTAAAAGCGAAGGGGAAAAAAATAAACATCATAAGAACCTATCATCTAAAAGTCAGGGAGAAGATTGGTAGAGAGAGAAAGAGATAAGTACTTGTGCAGGACATGGGGAAGGTGGGGGGGGGGGACAAGTACTGAGTGTGATTTTTAAAAACTCGTGTTTTGCTGAGCCTTTACATCTATCAGCATCTTTTGATATAATTGACCATCATATTTTGTTGAAGCAACTGAGTGAACTTTTGGATTACCCGGGACTGCCCTTAGCTGGTTTTGTTGTTACATGTCAAATCGTCACCAATCTGTTGTTAATAAAGGGTTTAAGTCATGAGTTCATGCTCTTAAGTACAGGTCAGTCCTCGGTCCAGTTTTGTTCCCCATTTCAACCACTTGTTAAGGAAATAGTTCAATACGACTTAGTATTATTTCTATGCTGATGATGCCC